GTCTTTACACTTTCGAAAAATATGTAATGTAGTCGTTTTCATATTCATGTTCTACTGCTTCTGTTCGTTTACTCTTGTCAAAAGTCTCAATGTGCTTTTTAGTAAAATGCGACGTTTACTGACTGCGTCTCTTTCCACACTCCAAGGAAATCCACCATTCTCAACATCATTCATTATGCGATTACTCTCGTATGTACATGCGAAAAATGCTCTAACAGAGGATCGGTCTGCCGTTATCTCAACGTTTGCTGAGAGGGAGAAGGTATGAACTTCAAACTGAGCAAGGATTTTTGCCTTTGAAGGCAATCATTTACCATCAGCCTCGCAAAAAAGTGGGCAAAACGAGCGGCTAAAATCTAAATGAACCGCATATGTCTGTCTTATTCCTCGTTGGAAATGTGTCACACCAGTTGCTGTCCTTCTTTGTGATCTATTGCTTGTCTTCTTTGTCTGTTTCTTCATCGCTCACTTCTGTTTTCAGAGTGCGTTGTCACTGTTGCAAAACTCATTCTCATTGTTCACTAGGCGAGAGGCTGAGAATGGGACGCTACAGAACCAACTTCGCATGTACACGGCTTATTCTGTTCAGTTACTTAGACATCTGCAACTACTTGATGGAAATGTCAGTCGCATTCAGTACAGATGTTGGAACCTAGCTTGGTTCGCGTTAAAGATCTACCGGTCCTTTCAGTGTTGTGGTAAGAATTTGATTGGATTAGCCGCCTCATTGGCTGAAGTGAATGGTGAACCAGGAAATCTCCTATTTATTCATCTGTTGCAAAGAGGTGCTTTTCATCTGATGGTTAGGGAGACGCCGGTAAGTTTTGACTTAACCAATAGAGACTAATCTTGAAAGTCGTTTAAACGCATTCATAACCTTATGCAACTGTTTCACTACCCAAATATCAGTAATAATTCACACTTTTCAGAGGATTTATATCTCTGCTTTTGGTCAAGTTAACTAGTGGAAATTGGTAAGGAATAAGTGTGAAATGAAGAGCGATAAAAATAGTGTCGTGCAAAAAAAAAAAGAATATGTAAAAGAGTAATCGGATTGATTGGTCTTAACACATATTTGCCAATTGGTTGCATTCTTTTGTGTCATTTCAGGATTACTTTATTTAAACTCACAGATTTCATTTTTTCGACTTTTTCGTTGGAATATTTACCTTTTTACTTGAAATATCAAAAGTGCATGTAGTTTTTCTAGAGAACTGTAGGTGTATGCCTCTAAAGCGGTATGAGAAAGCTTCTTTCATAAGTTTTTTACAATCCAGAACCTCACTTGCTTTTGTCTTAGAAGTTACGAAATACCAGAAACCGGCACGGTTATAAATGTGTTAGAATGACTATGGTGTCGTTTGGTTGTTTCTAGTTAAATCCGAGAACATTAGTGATAATCTATCATTGCAGGATAGAGCGAAAGCGAAACTGAAAATGCTTACGGTTCTTGCCAATTTGTTCACACGATGGCGTCTACCGTTTTGGTTACAACCCGGTGATAAGATCAATTCTTCAACCGATCCAAACGATTTGGTAAACAGTTCATTTTAATGGATCAGTTTTTTTTTACGCTTTCAGCGCACGATAAAAAGATTAACGGATTTCATGTATACAACACTTTTAATTAACTATTTTGAATCTTCGCTTATAATTAACACTTCCTTACAGCATGTTTTGAGCCTTTCATGAGCTCTGTTGTATCACTTAAGCGCTAGACACGTGTTTCGGTCTTTCATCCTCATCAGTAGCGCGGTGTGTTTTCTGTTCAGTTCGTGGGGTGTGTGCTTATACTTCCTATGTAGAACAATCGACGCCGAACTATTTACACTTAGCGTACGGTGAAAGGGTCTTCTTTCAGAGGGTTGATTGTCAGTTGTCGTTTTTTGCCTTAGGGCTATTGCACTAGTATATACATCTCTGACTGTATATATGTATATATATATATATATATATATATATACTGTATATATACGTGCATATACGTGTGTACGTACATATTTACATAATACACATTATGTATATATGCATGTATAGGTAAATATACATGTATATATTGGTGTAATCGCGGTAAGGCAAGCAAACGACAATCGACAAGCAATTACTCTGAAAGATCATCACAGTGAATATAGGAGGTATCCTCGACGAACTGACTGAACCGAAAGACATCGTGCTAATGATGAGGCTGAAAGAGCGAAAGGCATGATATATGCTGTTAATATGGATTTTATATGATATTATCGCGTGTCTTATTGATATATCTAAGATTTCCACTATACACTCCGTCTTTTTGTAGGTGTTCTTAGACGGTCTTCCGAAGGAAATGCAAGCCCTAGTCGACGAGTACAATAATATCGCTATAAGTCTCTATCATAAGTTTATGGCTGCTGCTTCGCCTACTCGAAATATTGTGGTTAGTTTCGAGACTTTCTAAGCCGTTCAAATTTCTATTTGATATTTCTAAACAATTCGTTCAATTTGAGGTTTCCTTATGCGCTATTGAGATTGGCTATTGAATACCTAACATAACCATTGGCAGGTATCTGCTAGCGTTATGTTCCTCAGAGCCTCTAAAATTTATTTTACTTTTATGGTGAAGTTAAAAAAATTGGTTTATTTTGTTATAGTAAATGGTATAAAGCCTCGTGCTTAATTGATGGAACTAAGTTTCCTAGCGATACAGCAAACTAATTTTTTGCTATTTTCGTTTTTATGTGATATATATGTATGCACTATCATATTTTTACTAGAAAAACGTCATGTTTCTTTCTCCAGATATCACAATTTTATGGACTTTCTGTCACATTTTTAGGCCGCAGAGTTCTCTAATGGTCACCCAGATACTTCACATATGTTCGTGAATGATGAACTTGTTTATCCTTCCTTTGAAGGCTATTCTCATGATTCGTCGTTTATTCCTGTGATTGACTTCGATCAGCGCAATCATCGCGGTAAAAAGGTATTGTTCGCCTTCGTTTTCATAGTGTTTGTAAATTGAATTTTATTCCACCACAGATCTGGTATAATGCCTTCGCCGTTGCTTTCTTTATCCACAAATCTCGGCAGAAGCTGTTAAAAGTGAATCGTATTGGCGTCAATAACATGTGGTACCTTCTTCACGATTTCGTTGTGAGTATTTTCTTTTTTCGAATTGTCTAACATGTTTTTGCTGTTGACAAAAGAGAAAAATTATAGAGTATTTTGCAACGGTTAGCCGAGGGGTTAGAGGCAGTTGCGAGACAGCAAGATCCCGTAGCCGAATTAGTGCGGGATATCTACACCGACTATAATGCGAAATTCCACTCAGCGTTCGGAATGAAAAACAGGAACTGATTGGATTTGTGCTATGGATTGCCAAACTGTTTGTTTCTTGTTTGTGGTGGTTCTCGTTCTGTGTTCTGCCTTCCAAGTTTGTCCGGTGTATGTGTAGGGATGGATTTCGTTTCTGCGCTCTTCCTGCGCTTCATTTACATAATTTTTCTCCTCAAGTGATCGCACTTTGGCCGTTCTACATATGGAAATTGGACGATATCTTGATGCTTTGTTCTGTTTTTCTTTCAAGTTTACTTGTTGGTTCCTACATCACGTAGGTTCTATTATTTTGTTCGATGTCCAGTTCTTTTCATTGAACTTGTGCTTATTGGTTAAAACGATGGTGTTTTAATGTGATACCATGACTTGTTACAATTTTCTTGACGTCCTGTTTAGGACTACCTAATAGAGTACTTCAGTTCTTTCGCGTAGTTAGATGCTGTAGAGCTCTTCAATTCAGTAAAATTTTATTTAAAACACTATATAGTTGGTGACTTATGAAAACAGGAACTTAGCAGAAAAATAATCCGGGAAATATAACTTTACTTGTAACAGTTCAAATTCCTATGTACATATAAAACAGCATCGCTTGTTCAGCGTTAAGTAAGGAATGGCCCACATTCTGAATTCTGATAAAGTACAGTAAATGGAAATAATGACGTAGCATAGGAAACGCTTGAAAATTGATTACATCTCCGAGGGAAAGCAATAAGAAAGCTTGGTCGGTAGAGATTCCAAGCGATCGTATCCGAAAATTGTGGTAATACGGGTACTATCTCGGAGAATTGTAATACATACAATAATCGTATGAAAGAATAATGCTAGATAGAAATTCCATCAAGGCGAATTACTTTAAAGTTTTTTCTTAGTAACCGACTTTAGATAGAGGTATCGGCTGTCATCGCTTTCCAGAGTTACGTGATTGACTCATCATCAATATTCTTGAAATTTGGAATGAAACAGGTGGACTGTACACATGACTAGAGAGTATCTCGATTGGAAGCACTCTGAAAGAAAACCACTAGATTTGTACAGACACTAATGGCGCTACGAAAGTAGGATTGAGTCACAACGTGTTATGTTTTCACTAATCCTCAATACTGTACCTTACAGAGTGATGTAGAATGATGTGCAAAACTTCCGCGTCAGCAGGGACTCGAACCCGCATCTCACTCTATCCGAGTGCGCGTGCTCTAACCTGTTGTATTACTCGTTTTTATTGAACTTTAATAGAGTACAAATTAAGTATTCGCAATAGTAGAAGGGTATCACTATCGTTTCTCGAAGCTCAAGTTCAAAAATAGGGCTGTGCTTCATAAATTCAGCTAAATTTAGTGGTTTTTAATACTTTGTTGTACAATCAAATCAGTATTACTAGAGATGATGAGGTATCTGTTCATACAAAATATTAACGATAACGGAAAAGTTGAAACACAATAAACTCAGTAGTAAGTAGAATTGAATGTACCGTACTCGTAGGCAATGGATGTACCGCTACTGTACTGCTAGATTGTAAAAGAACGTCAGTGTTTGACAGAAAGTAAAGGCATCGTAGCCGTATCGATAAAAATAAAAGTTTCGTATCGATACTGGTGAAAAATAGGAACAGATATCAATTTTATAGGAAGTAAACGTACGGTATTGGTATTACTATTAACAAAATCAATGGAAAGTAGTGCGCGAAATGGGCGTCGGTGGTGCAACGGTTCAGTACGCGCTCCAGCAAAGAGTGAGATCTGGGCTCGAATCCCGGCTGACGCAAACGTTTTCGCACACCACTCTACACTATTGGTAAAGAGGTGTTTCAAATCGTGAATCCGTTTATCTTGTTTCTAAGTAGCGCCTATGTGTGTCATGGTTTTACTGTTGTAGATATAATTCAGTAACTCTGCCAAATTGCCTGTGGTGCTTTGTCTTCCCCACGTATTCATAGGACGAAAAATCAGCAGAGTATTCGTAGATTTTGTCAAATATGAAAAAATCGCTAACCCTAAACGATGCTATCGTTTGTGAAGCGTTGTCGTCGTTATACAAATCACTTTGAAGCATTTACTTTTATTCTAACATCTAGATGTCGTCATCTAATGGTGTTTGATGTTGCGACGTCGAATAACGCCAGCATTGACTTTTCTGGAACCTGATCGTGTGACGATATCGATAGGCAAGAACAAGAGCAAGAACATGATGATGTTAGACTGCAAGATTAGATATGAAGAAAAGAACTTTTAGTCCACATCGGACAACCATGTCTCATTCTGGTACCCCTGTCAATAATGTCAATAAAACAAAAGCCATCTCGCATTGATGGATATGTTATCATAACCGAGTATAATGGAAAATTCAGTGAATTAGTAAATGAATTATCATATTCTTTTTTCCTAATCTAGAAAAACTTACTTTTAATTTGTTGTAGTTCCCACACCAAAAATTCAATGAGTATCTTATTGTTCTAGAAAATGTCGGGAATTTGATGTGATAGCTAAAAAAATATTTTGATATTGGTATCTCCCTTCAGCTGATTCTTTATAGTTATTTTTGACTGTTGATAACTCGCTGTCGCTATATGCCATATCTAAACGCATTGGTTTGGATTTTTGACCGCTTCTTTTGAAACATTCCTTTCTACCTATATTCAAAACTTTTCACCTAATTTGGCTAATATCAAAGATACTTGTTAGTTGATTTTCTCCCTCTTTGGTATCAAAAAGCTGGATGGCGAATTTTCATAGTTTCTGTCTTGATTAATCAATTCCCTAAATTATTATTAGATAAAAATAATGCTGCTACTTTGACAGCAATTCGACTTTGGATGTATAGTTTTCAAATAAGTTGCTCTGCACTTAGAAGTTGGCTACATAATTCCTTTACTTCAGTTCGGAAGCCTTGCCTTTGTTTTTTACGAGATAACACTTTCTTTCAATGAAAATTTCACTGACAAATTGAGGTTTTTCTGTGAAACTAATTGAAATCATGCTTATAAGGCAAATATCAGGTTGATGTGAAAGTGATTACGGTCTATTCAATATTGCAGTTACCGTTTGATATTAGGATCCGTCTGAAATCGAAAATTCTTAAAATTTGATAATGCAGTTCTTTTGCACTGACCTAAGTGCCCTTGGCAGAGGCTTTGCAGAATATAACGGTATCCTAGACTTAAAGGTTCATTGTACAAGCTCATAAATATTTATAGTTGCCTTAAGATGGAATATATAAGCGATAGTTAGACCTAAAGTTTTAAAAAGAATCGTGGTGAGCAGATGATTTATCATCAGAAGGATGCGATCGAGGAAGATGGATACTGAAAGGTGTGAATATGCCGACGTCACCACTTAGTGAAATGCATCGTAGCACAGGAACGGCCGAATACACGTGGAAGTGGCGCATCGACGAATTCAATACAAACATGCACAAACAAACATAGAGAGAAAAGGAAAGATAAGGACAGAAAATGAGGGAGAAGAGAAGGAGAGAACGAGAGAGAGAGCTACTCAAAGGACAAGCACGAATCTTGTAATACTTTGTAGCATCTACGTTTCAGCTGTGTCAACGATCAGATTGAAGAGTATAGACAGCTTAAGGTAAGATCGATTAGCAAAGGGGGTCTAGTGGGTTTGATTCAGATGACTTAGATGATACCATTCAAGCATCGACGTCGGCGATTACTGGAAGCTTCTTGTTCGAATACAATTCCTTTTACAGTTGGTTATGAACTCAACATACTTGTTCCTCTTGACGTCACTGTTCATTGAACTGTGAATTTTGGCAAGCTTATCGTCTACGATCACTTCTACTTTAGAAGACCAATTCTATCAACGACAGACTGCCTTCGGTTACTTGTGAAAAGTACACACTTTTGAGCTTTATTGCAATTTTTTATCACCGGTATCGCGAGAATGTAACTCAAAAATTCATATTCTACGACGAGGATGTCTAGAAGAAACTTGTTTGGGTACTTCACTTCATTTGTATTTTGTATAGGTGTCGAAAAAAACAGGCTTCTTTCATACTGAAGAGGTCATCCTTGAAATAAACCAACATTTTTGACCTTTATAATCATAACACCTCACGTGTGTTGGATTTTTTTTTGGCTTGAAATGTTTGCTCAGCCAACAACAACTTATACACTTAGCTTCGGTCAACAATAATACCAGAGCATTTAGTATTGGTCAAGAATTCATTTTTATTGCATTGATTTGTACTTCTAACACATCATAAGCAAATGGTACTTACTGAACTGATCAAGTCTAATCAATTAATCATTATTTACTACAATGCACGGTATGAAAGTCATACCTATAGAATACCATCTTTATGTCGACTATCTCAAACGATTACGGTCACATTCATGATTAACAGAATTGAAGTTTTCGTGAACAAACATGCTTTTTGCATTGATCGTACCTCGTACGTACTTGTAGAAGCTTTATTCCGAGGAAGCAAGATTTTCATCCTCTCACAACTTTCCGTAGTATTCAGTATAGCGTGTAATTCTTAGTGAACTAGTGGAGTCCCTTTTAAGAACGCGGATGATAGTACAACTCATGGCCGTTAAGAAACTATTACTCGGTATGACACCCGATCCTAAACGAGCGCTTCTATGTAACACCGAATGACTGCTCCACTGCTGAGCTTGACCCTCAAGCATTCATTTGAAGGTTCGAACCGTGTTGCGATGCTTTGCCACTCAACATTCTTCTGCTACCCTTTGTTGTTTGTCTATTCTACAGTCAACTCCCAGGCATCGATCACGCATAGTTCGTCGAAAACGACTTGCTTTTTGGATACAAGCATTACGCCGCCCTGAATGCCTGTCCGTTTATCATCGACGAATAGTGATAGCAATTTTCTTGATCACTCGCCGATTATTTCTATAATTTCTCAAGTATATTGTTTTTCATCGCTTGAGCCAATATTCCCAGAGCCAGCATTTTTGATGCATGCATTGTTTCCCATGCTGTTAACGACTCAGTCACCGACATTATCATCGTCACTGCCTGTAACTTTTCCAAAAAAATTTCCTAGCTTCGTTTCTAAACATGACAAAACCTTCAGCTCGGAATATTTATTTACACATATTTCTTCCCACAACTCCGACGATTAGCAGCTTTGCAATAATCTACAAAGAATGGCCCTTCCTACATGCAGTTAATAACAAATTTTGGAATTATACACATCATAATTCCAATTCCTCGCGATATCAAGCGCTCCCCAGGTAGACCACCAATCCGATGGTGCGTATCTTCACGAAAGGACTAGAAGAAAGAAATGATGCTCAACGAATCCCTAGAGCTAGGAGGACCCACTGGGCTACTCTTGGACGTGACAGGGTAGAATAAAAGTGTTGCCGGCACCCCCTCGAGTCACTTCGCAATCAACCGAACGACAGGTGATACAAGTGATATACTTCCGAATTAGAATCTACAGCCATTACCAATAACATCTCTTCCTACCATTCTGAGCAAGATACAGTTGGATCCAAGAGCATACATTTTCTATTAGATAGATTGATCTCTAATTTACATTGGCTACCTTGTCGTCTATGTGGAATAGTCATGTATTGTGAACTTGATCTGACAGCCAATCCAACGCGGTGCTCGAGTTTTAGCCTTTGACTGTCCTGCTTGATTAGATGTGCACACCTAAACACCGGGTCAAATTTGATATGGCAAATAAGGAACAAATAGGAATTTGCACTACTTATTAGCTCATCCAAAGTACGATCTGGCTTGTTGCCTAGAAATCCTCCCCGAAACAGAAGTGTTGACTCTTCTTTGCAAACAGTAACTATTAGTAATTTTAATTATAGCATATAGTAGAATAAATCATTCAGAAGAGAATTTATTTACGATGCTATTGATAGAGCATGTTATCGGCCTCAGTGAGGTGTTGTACTAGGTAGTCTCTGATGTGGGCAGTTCGATCCCGCTATTACCTGTCATTCCAACCTCTAGAACCGGAGGATTGGCATCAGACTTATGTGGAAAGAATGCAACACTGGCGTGATATATCACTGGCCACCGTGAGTCACTTTAAAAGCTACACATGCATTAAAATCACTTTTAACAATTATTAATGAACCCGATTGCTTGAGTGCATCTCTAGACATTCCTCAAAGCCAAGACTTTTGATTATCTATTATTTAACTCATATCCATTTGTTCAACTACATGACCTGATCTCACGTGTGTCAAGTTCAGCAGTTCTTTCACTCGGATTTCTGTGTCTCATTGATCACCTATAAAGGTCCTTTGATAAGCTTATGTGTTCGGCTACAATTTGAAGGCCTTCAGCGTCTTCATGGTTCTGTCGTTGAGCGACGGTGAAGAAGTATTCTTCTTGCAATCTTCAGATATGGCCGCTTAAGATTTTTCTAAGTTCCCAAGACCGACTGTCTATTAACCTCGGTATGCTTCAGGCATGGTGTTCTGCTCAAAGAAGAAAATCAAGAATTTTTCTAAGTTTCAAACCAATTTGTCAATTCTGGCGAAAATGAGATGTTGGGTTTCGTGCGACGGACTCTAGCGAACAATTATCTTCGTACTTTTCAACGACATCTTTACCACTGCTTTTTCCGCTTTTCTTGCTTGAATGAAGTAAACTAATCTCAACATCTACATGATGAAAATGACTGCTGTAAAGGAAATCAGTCAACGTCTTGCTTAGGATGTCAATTTAGTTACACGTCAGGTGGGCCCCTGATGCCGCTTCTATCATCAAAAGCTATTCTCTCAAATTGATCGTTTATCCCGATCTCGATTTTGA